CTCTATGCATTCCATTCTGCATAGTTTTTATTAGATTAATTTCTTAACATAATTTAGAAGACCAATGATTTTATGTCTGCTTGCTAAAGAAGGTGGATCACTGAGGAACTATTTGTGGTAAACTGTTTGGCATAAATTATATTACCTCATTGTCAGGTGACTGTATTTTCCTTATAGCAGTTAACAAAACCTCTTCACTTCTGAAAATCTGCATCGAAAAAAATATATTCTGATTATAGCCTATTCTGAATTACTCATATTTTATCTGAAATGTTCTTTTTTAACTTCCATATTAGCTATGATGGTAAAAGAAATAAATAGAATATACTTTCTTTTCCCCTCTCCTGTCTTCTTGACTCCAGAACACATACCAACTTTGTGTACTAAAGACCACTCCTATTGCATTATAGGTGTATTTCATGCACCTGAAAGTCAATATTAAATTCTTGTTCCACTATAGATGTCATTCTTCTTTTTTCTACTATGTTCACACATAACAATAATGTTATGGCTTGGCTTCTGTCACATGAAGTGAGATTTAAGTAGTCAGCAATTGATTTAACTCATCTGAAACTTAACCAGTCTGCCACTATATTGGTTCTCTTTGAATTCAGTTTGCTATAATCCATCATATGGTGCATCAGGGCACGTCAGCTGGCAGGCAGGCATCCCACTGGTTATCAGCTACTGTTTATTATTAAAAAAAAAAAAAATTAACTGCATTTTTGGTTTTGGCCTGAGACATACATGTGGTCAGTTGTCCTAATTGACTTTAACATTAATAGCTATGCATGTGCGTCCCTTTGTTTTAGTACATTCACAGGGCATTACCAGGCAGTACCAGGGAAGAACTGGACATATTTCATTTACAGTGGCCTCATGACCACTTCCTCCACTATTGTAGGAGAGCTGTGGATTAGTGACAATCAGAAACAACAGGAACAGGCTAATTTTTCTGCTGTAGGAGTTGATATCTCAAATTGGGATCACCCATTTTCCTCTGCGGCCATGGTGAGAAAACTGGTAGAAAGATGTCTAGCTAAGCAAGCTATTCTGTAGTACATCATTCAGCACTTCAGAGCTGACATAACTTGAAAAAAATCAGTGAAGAGGTAGGAGAAATACTGTTGCATATCAGACTTCTAGGGGTTTCTTTCCGACTGAAGGAAAAGTCAATGGGGAAAAAACACGGTCCTTGTGGGAAGAGAAAGCTAATGTGACTTCTAGCGGGGCCAAAAGGCGTTGCTACCTTTCATGTGAAAAACAAAGCAAAGAAAATTAGGCTCAGGCTTTCTTGTGGTCAACACCTCTGATCTACTCTTCCTAACAAATAAAGTTTAAAAGTTGGCAGTTGAGTAATATGTATCCATCTGTTAATCTCTGAGCTCTCTATTGATGTCCATTACTATTAAACATGTTATGCTAATTAGACGCGTTTTTCAGTAAAGTAAGATCTCAGGAAATGACATTAAGTTTTGTGCTCCCCTTCCTTCTCTATAATACATTTGCAGCAAGTATATTTTTTAAAAGGCAAACAACAGGTATTTTTCAGAATATTGTTTAGGTTTGCAGAAGTTTGTCAAAGAAGGTGGTCTTTTGCAAGTCTGGATTAACTGATCAGAGTAGAAGAGCTGGAAGATCCTTCTGGCTTCTATGTAGTCATGGAAAGCATGACATCTGCAGAGGATAACATTTCCTTCTGAAATCTGGGGGAGGAAATAAAATTAGCATTAAATAGGTATAGTAGATCCAAGAGCAAAATGCAAATAATGTAAAAATCTAAAAAAGTAATGAGAAAAGCTACATGAACAAAGACAAAGTGAATATTTGAGATTTTTTTTGTGTGTTATTTATTAATCTTTATGTAATTAACTGGAAACACCTAAAATAAATAATTTTATTTTACAGAATTAAATAAAGTATTTGATAGATATATATATAGATATATATATATATATATAAATGTGATACTGCATTAAATTACTTCAAAAGTGGTGAAGTTGATACACTTTTAGTTGATGGCATGTCCAGTGCATGAGGAATATCTCTGAAGATAAGAGTGACAATCTGTGATTTATATGCCTTTCCTTTTTTATGAATGCAGGTCCAGCAGTTACAACAGGCAGAGGGTATCTGGCTTGTGGAAGTCAACTGACTTTAGGCAGGTTCTTCACAGCCTGATATTCAGAGAGCTGATATACAGAATGTCCTGAACAATAAAAGTGAAGCTTAAATTGTAAAACGTAAAATCAGCAAACAGTCTGAATTTCCAATATACTTTATGGCATTTTGCCTTTCTTATTTTCCACTGTTCAACACTAGGCCTGAAAATAGATAGAAATAGGACTAAATTGAAAAAAAACCAAACAACCAAACTGTTTAAATAATTGATCCTAGAGACTTATTTCTTCATTAAAATAAAAGGTGAATATCAAACACATCTTTCAGTTCCTAATATTTACTACTGCAATTAAATTATTGCCATTATATTGATAGTGACAGCCACAGGGGAAAAGTTTCTTGTTAGTACTGCCATTTCCACCTCCTTTTCCGAGCAAGAGATTTGTTCCATGGAGGATAGGAAAACATACAATTTGCTCCTTTGTATTCTCTTGTTTCCAGTTTCTCTACAAAAGTATTCAACCACACCTGAATTATCCCACGTACAACAGAAAGAATATACATATGTAACAGGAGAGTCAGTCTATGTACTCCAAACGCTATGATCAAGCCTATCAGCTACATTATAGAAGAGTTTACTTTTGCTGAATTGTTATGTTCTGTTTTAGAGGTATCTTTTCATCACTGACGAAAACATCAAAAGACTTTAGGCTTGACATTCATATCCAGGATAAGTTTCAAAGTCTTTCATCAACCACGGAACCTGGATTAGCACCAGTGAGTATTTAACAGTCTCTACCTACTAGAGAAGAAACCGAGGGACCTTTGGTTTAAAAAGAATCTATAAAATGTGATTATTAATTTCAAGATATCACACATTTAAAGTGGAATTCTTCAGCGTTCTTTGGGAAGGTTAACTATAAAATTATGAATTGATGAAGAGCTGATGAAGAGTCTGACTGAAGATAATGTCAAAAATCCAGAAACAAAATAATTCATAGTTACAAAGGACAGGCTGGGAGAGCCAATTTAACAAGTTAAGATGGGCTTATAGAAGTTTCAGGTCAGAAAGGATATACTGCTTTTCAAATTAATTCCCCAATATTACCCTTGTTTCAATTTACAGTGTATTAGAGGAGTGGATAAAATTAGTCTTTAAATTAATCTCTTTCCTTACAGAAATGGAGAACAAAATGTTTACTGGTTTGCAGTTCAGCAGTGATGGCCCCAAGCTTGGCCTCTTTTTAGTCACTGAAATGTATGGAACTGTTTCAAGAAACCCACATAATTCGGAAACAAAAGTGACAAAACAATGTCACTGAAATTGCCTTTGCTCAAAACCACTGCAAAGGTTGTTTGTTTTCGTGAAGGCAGACCTGGATGGTGACATTTTAATTGCTGAATTTTCCTGGCTTTTATTATCGGTACCAGGCAATGTATTTAGTTGTAAAACACAGTTCAGTATTGCTGGAACACTGGGAAGATGCTGTGCTGCAGCTGAAGTCACAAAACATATCCAGTTCACAAAATGAACTACTGAATGCTTAAAACCTGCAATAGTTAAAAAGTGAAAAATATAAAATTCTTGAAATACTGTTTGAAAATAAGGTAACTGCTTGCAGAAAATGGATGCAAAACTGCTGCAGCTTTTGAACAGGCAAAACACGAAAAACTGCCTATAAGGCACAGAATCGCTTTTTTTATAAAGTCGCATGAGCATGGCAAAATTAACAATTTCAGCTTTCAAGAATTCATTCTCAATTCATTTTGCAGCATTCTTTTAGCAATTTAAATGGTATTCCATAATAGCATTATATACAGAACATTACGGATTCTATCAGAAAGACAGAAAACAGTCATGTTCAAACTCACATTATGTTTCTGATTTTGCAGTTTTCTGTGATTCCCTGTAATGTAATCATTAATCCATGTGCTAATACAAATGAAATCATTATAACAGCTGTGATTTTTATGAAATTTAATAATTTAGTTAACATCATTTTTGTCCATTGCAATGCATAATGTACAGCAGTATAATTGTTTCTTGTTCTACAATATTCCTGTATTAAAATTAAACTATTAAAAATACTATTTACAGAAATATTTACTGATAAAGCGATTAAAATATATATTCAAGGGGAAATTTTAACTACTGAAGTTCATGTTTGTTCAGTAAATCAGAACCTATAATTTAACATTTTTACATCGGACCTCTGTTACCCATTGCTTGAAGTAACTAATGTAATAAATTTTTCAAAACATGAGAAAAAAGGAAATCTGGTAAATAGCTAGATTTAAGACAGCACTTTATAATTATTTTCTGTGGCTAAAACCAAAGAGTAGTCCACTAGAGATATAAAACTATCAAAACCAACAGAAGTCTAATAGTATTAGACTTGATAATAGATTTTATTATTCATTGTCTATATAGCAAGCACATGACTAAAGATACAATTTCTAGAGTCTCAGTATCTGTCGTTTTATGTAGATCACTGCACAGTTTCAAATTTGTGTGAAGTATTCTAATAGTTTTAGACCTATAGTGGAAGTACTTTTGTAACTCATACAGTTTTAAAATTGTTTGCCCATACCAGTTTCCCATAGACAGTGTGAAACTAAGGCCCAATTCTCAGCTCAAGCAAGGTCCGTTGGAGCTACTGATTTCTCCCAGCTGTAGATTTGAATCTGTTGACATGCTGAATTGTTGTTGATCCCAATGCAAGTTTCTATGTGTATATTATGAACATTACCGAATATGACCCTATGTAGCTCCTGAGTCATAGCCGTTAACTGAAAAAACAAATGTTTACTTCTAGCAGTGCTGCTGAGCCATTAACTGTGATTATTATCAAAAAAATCCTGTGTTTTAGTGTGCTTACCCACTCACAGAAAAAATTTTAAGGCCCTGATTTTAAGATCTGCATCGCTGTTGATGATTAATGGCAAGGGACAGTCAAAGCTGAAAGAACAAAGCATGATTTTCAAATACCTGACAGAGTATGAAAAACTGGCAAATCTTAAATTCTCTCCTGCTGTCAGATATCATACTTCTATTTGGACTACATTTTGTGCATATTGCAAAATTAACTAAAATACCAAATCATACAGATTTAAGAACATACTTCAATAAAACTGATTCATATCTGGGCGTGGATAATTTTGATTATATTAAGACAACATATTTATCTTATTGATTTAACTTTTAGATTTGCAAACATCCCATAGGCCAAAGAAAACAAAAAACTAATAAATATGCTGAAAAACTCCATACCTCAGTATGAAATCCTGACCCCTTCTCCAACTAAGTACACACAGTCCAAATACACTGAGAATGCCAAGCTACAGGGGCCCCTCTGTGGGGAAACCTGTACTTCAGTCAGCAGCATCTGTCAGCCTGAAGAGAACTGTAGGGACAGATGCTAGAGGAAGGATGACACTTTAAAGTGGTGGCCGATTTCAAAAGTGTTTCTGTGTACAATTAAGTCAGTGCCATAGTTGTGCTAATGCAGTATTGTATCCGGATTTATATGTGGAACATAACTATCACTCTAGGCTCATTTTAGCATAGGTTTACGGTGCTAATTAGGCTCCCGGTCCTGCAGTCCACACAGACTAGGCCATTTGGTGTCACACATCCAGCAGGGTCACACAAGGCAAGGAAGGAGAGAACAAGTGCTGTAGAACTCTCTACACTTCTGCAGCAAATAAATTCTATCGCGCTCGGGTGACAATTGCCAGTGTAAAATCCACAGGTCTCAGCCTGAGGTTTGTCAGGCAACACCGTGCCCTGACGGGTGCCACGTTCCCTCCGTTTTGGGAAACCCTGCACACGGCAGCGGCCCAGCTCGAAGGCCAGGTAAGGGCAGCCAGGGAACTGCCACGTCCGTTTTCCTTCTCGATTAAAGAAGGCCTGGGTGGAGGTTAGCCAGAGCTAAACCAGCTTCAGTCTGCCTACAAGGGCAGCGGTTTGACACGGGGCGCCTTGCGGGGGGACGGCCCGTCGCGGGGGCCGCCTGGCAGGCGTTCACGTGTCCCGCACCGGCCCGGGGAGCTCGGCTCGCCCCGCACACCCAACTGCCGCGGCGCGACTACTTTTGAGCCGGTAATCTCTGCAGCAGGGACGCGGCAGCCTGCGGCGGCGGCCGAGGG